GATTAGCTGATGACACCTCCTGATTGCCCATGAGCATCTTCCTTCAAATTCCATCCTAAAATTTAGCTACTTGAGTGAAGCAGTGACAAGCATTAACACTCGTCTCTTACCTTCACTTGCTTGTAGTTGCTTGCTGTAGGCTCAGCAGCATAAGCTCCAGGTGGGCAATCAAGTACTTCTGTCTCTTTTTTCTGTTGCAGCCCAGCATTGTCCTAGGTAGCCAACAAAATGCGCCTACTGGCAGGGTGAGCCCAGGTGCTCAAAACATGGTTTTCTCCTTTAGGACTGTGGGGATCACCTGCCAGGTCCATAGAAGGATTGTAAGCCTCAACAATGCTTGACGTGAATGCCTCAGAGAATCAGACAAGTTGGCACAAATCATATTAATGTATTTCAATAAAAGTGATGGAAAAAGCAGGGTAATTAACAATGGGGCTTGGTTAGTTGGACTTAATGATCCACACAAATTACCTCCTGTCTGCTCCAAACTGTATTGCTTGCCAACTGTTCTGAACCTGACTTGGCCAAGGTAGAGAGACATACAGCACTCAGCACACTGTCTCTTCAAACTAATAATTTTCCTTTCAAATTGCCATTGATATATGAGTAGGTACCAGACTTAAAAGGAAATTTATTGGCCAACTGAAACTAAGTACTGTGCCAAGCTGAGTTCACCCCGGAAAAGTCAGTGAAAGTTCTAGATTAACAAATACTTCTAAAACTATAAATTAGCATGAAGCACACTTGAAAAATGGTCATGCAATGGACAGTAACCTGTGAGAAGGTTCATATTCTGGAACATGCTAGTGATGCTGCTAAATGAATGAATGCATTTAATGTATGCATGCACTTTCCCCTTCTAAATAACAGCTGTAGGAAAGGACTGGGAACAATCAAGATCAGGACTGTGGGAGTGAGGTGGGAATTCCCCAGGACCATGATGCCAGTACTCCCTGGAAACCAGAACAGGAAATCCTTCAGAGCGGGGTGGATTTTAACAGGGACTCTGTAAGGGGTGTTAATTTTCAGTCTACAGTATTGATCTCTCTACAGTGCTGATCCTGACACTTCATCCCAGCTCTGTTGTTTAGATTTCTTTGAAAAACCAAACTAGGCATGTTAAACGCAACCATCCATTTCATGTCACATCTTGAGATTTTAAGATGTGTTTCTCCTTAAACCTTTCCTCACATTCATTATGTATCCACATTTCACCTGCTTTTAAAATGTTGGTTGCATTTAGTGACAGTTCAGTTCTGTTCACACTGTACCTCATACTCTGTAAAAGACTTGGAAAGGCAAAGCCATAGCATGGCATTTCATATCTAAGGTTTAGACGATGTAGGATACAATCCCGTGTATGTTTAAACAGAAAAAATCCCTACAGCTCCCGGCATACTGGACCTCTTTTGTTTCAACATATAGTATTGCACCCTTACATACTAGGAGTGATCCGAAATCTTGTGATCAGTCCTGCCTTTGTGGGAACAAACTTCCCAAACCCCTTTGCATGCTGAGAGGAGGCTTTGCTCACAGGAACCTCCTGTGGCATTTCCTACCACTTGGATATCCACAGGAGAGACCCAACCTGAATGGGACAGGCCGCATGTAAAGCATGTGCTTTTTTCAGAGCTAAGTACCAGCCTGCCCAAGGTCACCTGAAGATCATCCACAAAGCTCTTACGCAGGGTGCAGACAGGTTGGAAAGACACATTGCTGACTTGTTTATGCTCATGCATAAAAACATACCATGCAGCAGCATCTCACCTCCTTAGATGGATTGCTTAGCTTTTTCTTTTCAGTAATTTCACACTGAGCTCCTTGTTCACTGCTGCATCGTTGGTGCAGGGGAGAAGAGAAGGCAGCCATGACCGGTGAAGTCATCTGCAGACCTGCCCTCGTAATTGACTAATTAAGGGAACCTCTTTGCTTTGCCAAATGAATGAAGTGCAAGGGAGACTTTCAAGTTTTACTATTGTTAAACATTAGCATAGAGGAAGTAAGAGAATTAGAAAAATAATCAAGCAGAGGCTGGATACTTCCTTTGACTGGGTTTGTCCTTCATGCTAGCAGTTTAAAAGGGAGCATTTCTTTTCAGGATTGTTTGCATTTCTAGTAGAATGGCAAAAGTTGTGTGTGGGATGGCTGCTAATCTTTTGTGAAAGCTTAATATGCAGCCAGCATCACTGAGTTTACTGGAAGTTACTCCCCAGAGGGTCCCATGTTGTGATCCCACACTGGGAAGTTTCTGCAGAGAGTCCTGCAGGAACATGCAATCCATTTTGCCCTGCTAAACAGAAACTCATAGCTTCATAGAGCATTTCTCTCCAGCAACGTTTGCTGGGGAATACAAGATGTCTACAAGTGCTGCTTCCTGGGATATGAGCAAAGCTAAACCAGGTATAAATAGTTTCTCCAAAGAACTATAGCATGCAAGTAGCACAGATATGGACTAGCCAGATGTTCATAGAAAAATAATTTAGTACTATTTATTTATTCCATATGCTTCCTCAAGAAATTCAAAGTTGCCTTCATTGTCCTCTCATTTTATCTCACAAAAACCCTGTGAGGTAGGTTAGGCTGAGAAAGCAAAACTGACCCAGTGAACTCCATGGATGGTTGGAGGTTTCATCATTGGTCTTTTAAGTTCTGGTTGGAAACTTGTATAATAGATTGATTGTATAAAAAGGCAAGTCAGAATTGGGAGGAAATAGAAAGTGAATAAAAGAGAGTTATGTGAAGGAATGACCAATATATTCTGCTGATGTAGCTTTTTTAATTCTCCAGAGCATGAGAATCCTAAGCCCATGGGTACCCTGATTTAATTGTTTTTCCTAGAAAATTTCTGGCTCCAAGACTTAGGATGCTTCCAAACCCAGGATCCCTAACTCTATCAATTAGGAAGCATTGTACAGCTATTCTGTTCTTTTTTACTTAGCAGGTTTTCTTTGGAAGGAAAAGAAGTTGGAAGAAGCCATGGGAAAAAGTGGCTTACAGGTGGAAGGCAACATTGTCTGGATCCCCTGTAAATTTCCGTGATAACGCAGGGCAAAAGTGCAATAAAAGCACTTTTATAAAATTAAAAATAGAGTAAATGCAGTGAAAATAAAACAGTTTTGATTACTATTTCTCTTCGGTTTAGTACATGGTGTAATGGATAGCTCCATCTTTTCCAAGTTCTCCTTGCAGTGTCACAGAGCTTGCTGCAGGGCACAAGTGTAGAACAGCCCTAACTTTGCCACACTTGGCTCTGATTGTTCCAGTGAAAGGAAAGCTTTTGTGCATCACAGAAGAGAAAGTGAGGTTTACCAGTGCTTGAAAATGAGAGGGGCTTTCATCAGGAAAAAGAAGACTTGCCAGTCCCATTAAGCTTTGCACAATTTATGGCTGCTGCAGCAATTCTGAATAATTTGCATGTCAAAACATACCTAAACTGAAGCTAATTAGTACCTTAAACAAATGGCTACTCAAGTCAAAGCTGATTTTTTACAGCTATGTTTTGGCTCTGCTTTGGTGACCTCCTCTCTCAGTTCCAGCTGGACACATGTCCACTACATAAAACCCACCAGCACAAAATGGAACCCCAGTGGCTGGTAACCACTAATTAAGTAAGACAGGCATCAAATTAAAAGGTTTTAGGGCTCAATCCTCTGCATGTTTAGACTGGCATAGTATTATATCCTTACATAATGAACTGTGTTCTCACTCCTGAGGTGTTCACAGAAGTCAGGACATTATCCTATCCTTTTTCACCTGCCTAAAATCCTGACCATTTTGACCTTGAAATAACTGCTCTCTGAGACTTTAAATGTGCTTGCCTGGGTCTAATTATAATGGATAATATTTTACTTCATAGATACTATCAGTTGAATCTAAGAACAAACATAGATATTCATTCAAAAGGGATGCACCTTACTCATCTCAGGTGCATAAAAAGGAGATGTGTTGCTTTGTATACATCAAATTAGTGCTCTGGTTGTCACAGTGTTTTTACAAAGGCACCCTAATCACTAGGGTGGCATCAGTGTTGCACATCTACGCTTGTGCAAAAGTGATATCTCATCCTTTACTGCTGTCCATTATTTTAGAATAATCGGGTGTACTAGAATGAAAGCTCACAGGGTCAAAATATCAGGACATTTTAATTAATGGTGCACTGAGGTTATTTGGCAACTTGCCAATCCTCCTGTTCCTTCTAAGATTAGCTGCAATCCTCATAGTACTTGGAGGCAAATTGATTCTCCCAGCAATAATATATTGCTTAATGTAGGGTTAATTTAGGGTTTTCTGAATAAAAATAATAGAGAGCTGAGATATAAATTGCAGAGAGAAACAGAATAAAAGAGTTGTGAGGGGGACATTTGTGTCCCAGAGAAATGAGTTCCTGCTCTTTTCCTGTTTTAGAACAGCTAGTGTTCTTTGCATCATTCTTGCTCCTTCCTGACCCTATTCAACTCACCCAAATGTAGCTATTTCTGGAATCTGTCTCTAGTTCCGACTGAAGCATGTGGCTTCTCTGTCTCACCTTGGCCATCCGACAAACTGTGACTGCTTTTATGGCACGATCCTACTGCACTTCTGTTTGGAAGCAGGCCTTACTGTGTTCAGTGGGACTCGCCTCTATAGGAGTGTTTGTAGGATTGTAGCCCACAAGTCCTATGCAGCCTAACCCGCTTCTCTTGCAGGCTTACTGTTTCCTGATTCAGATCCAGCAGAAAAGCTTGTGACATTTCTTGTCTCTCCAAACCAAGTGGTTACAGCCATGTAACTTACCTCATTATGGATCCGCACAGCACCCCGTACACGGTGCCACTCCAAGATTACTGGGGCATTAGCCACATGGTGCCCGCTTCCTTGCCTTTGGCCCAGGTTGTTAAGGCAACAAGTATCACTGGCCCATATTTGCAGGCACACACATATATAGCAGGCCCATTCTTTGATCGAGTATTTAATAGCTATCTGTATGTGTATGAACTTCTTTTCATTTCTCTCCCTTTCAGATTGCTTTTCCTATTCAGCTTTAGAAATATTATCAAAGAAGTGTTATGGAAAACAGAGGTGTAAAGTTATTGCTAACAATCATAATTTTGGAAGACCGTGCCTACCTGGTGTGAAAAAATATCTCAATGTCAGCTATGCTTGTGGTAAGACAAATCATAGTAAAATTCAAAAGCATATACTGTGCTTTGGCCAGACTTTCCCCACCTGGGGATTGCCTGCTGGTTGGGAATGATGGGAGCTGCAGGCAGCACATCTGGGGGAAGGCTGGCCTCAGTTTCGATAAAGTCTCATTGTTAAATAAGCATGTGCACACAGAGAATCGCTTCAAAACTTGGATTTTAACTTATCATGAAGATTCTTCCCAGATGACTATTAAGTCTGATCTGCTCTAGGTGTCAATTGCTTTGGAAGGGCCAATGAAGGTGACCCTTTCCCAATGGTTCTGTGGCTTTCTATTCATCCATTCCATCATTTATCCACTCTGTATAGCTCACCTTCCAGGGTTCCAACTTTCAATGAGGCTCACAACACATTAAAGTCATTTTATAACAACATATGAAATACCACAATGTCTAAAAATATCATAGCAGCAGCAGAGTAAAATATCAGTAACAATATAAAAATAGATAAACCAGCAGCAAAAATAAGCATTGGGTTTTAAAAAACCTTGTATCAAATGTCAAAATAGTGATTAAATACCAAATGCAAATATTAGTTTTAAACAGGTTTGAATGAGGAAGTCTTCAAAGCCCAGTTCAGGCATCAACACTGGGGCCATGTGGACCTGTCTGGGGAGGGAAATACAAAGGCGTGGGGTCACCACTGGAAAAACCCCGGCTTTAGTGCCTGCTGATCTAAAACTTCTTGCTGATGAGCCCATGAGCAGGACCCCTGAGGCTGATCTTACGGTAGAAGCAAGTTTGCATGGATGCAGGTTGGTCAGAGTATATATGCACAGTATGGCACTGTTAAAGTAGAGCATATGTGTTATTTGCAGAATCATAAGAAGAGGCCACTGGATCCAGCCAGGAGGCTATCTAGCCTGTTTTCCGCACTGGCCAAAAAGGCCAATGGGAAAGCCCAAAGCAAGACGTGAGTGAAATGCTTCCACCGGTGTTCCCCAGTAAGTGAACCGGGAGCTATATAGCCATCGAAATCCGTATTCATTGATAGCCTCAGTGATAAAATCTTGTGGGCTGCACATTTATTATGGAACAAGCATTTATGCCATAATAAATGTGCTATTGTTATTGCATTACATTTATATCCCACCTTTCTTCCTTGAGGCAACTTAGCCCCACAATAACAAACCTGTGAGGCAAGTTAGGTTGAGAAGCAAAGTCACCCAGTGAGCTCATGACTGAGAGGTGACTGGAACCTGGATCTCCTCAGTCCCAGCCCAACCCTCTAGCCATGCACCACACTGGCTCTCAAAACCTGTTCGCCTTTAAGGTGCCATGAGATTCTTTGTTCCTGCTGAAACAGAGCAGCTTAGCTACTCCTCTGGAAATTGATAAGTCTTTTCCTACTTGGATTTGGCTTATTTCCTCTTGGAACTGACCAGGTTGGTGGTCATCGATACATCTTCTGGTAGTGAACTCCACTGCTCCTCTGTGCACTGTGTGAAGAGATACTTTCTGAATGTTTTCTGATTCTACTTCCTTGAATGACCCCAAGTTCCATGCCATGTATAATTCTATCCAGCTCTATCATGTATTTTTTTACCCTTTTCTAAGCTAAAAAGCCTTAGATGTTGTAATGGTTCCTCATGCTCCAAGCTCCTGACTCTGTTTTAAGGATCCTTCTTAATCCAACTTATTTATAACTTATACCATGGTGTTCTTTGTTTCAGTTTGTTGATGAAAGGGTCATATATGTACTATACCTTGGAGGAAAGCAGTGCTCCCTGAAGACAAATTTCCTGCCTGATGTGAAGGAACAAATGGTGGCCCACCCTCACATCAGGATGTGTAATACCTCTGAGCATGTGTTGAACTCAGTTTAAATGAGCACTGTCTATCAGAGTGGTTACTAGAGCAAACCTAATCCACATTAAAATGCTGCTTTCCTTGTCTTCTGATAGCGTAGTGCCAAAGATACCAGTCCCCAGAAGTGAGTTGGACCAGAGATGAGTATTGAGATGAAATGCAGGTTGCCTTCCCCTTGGTTGCTGCCTTTACCCAGGAGGAATGATTTGGGCAGTGTGATCCTACCTGGATCCAGAGGAGTGGCTGGTGCAGGAGAACCACCTCATCTGACCTAAGGACAGGGCTGGCCATGGAAAAGAGTGTGTCCTGTTGCAGCGGCAAACCTGGGCACCCACATTTTCTTTTCCTTGTTTGACTAATTTGAAAGATGCTTTCTGCCATGCTGATTTGAAGCAGCCTGGAGCATGAGCAAGTGAGCAGCTGCTTTAATTATTTTCTACCTAGCCTTGATGGTTTTGAGTAAGACAGAGCTTTGGAATGTGCGAGGTGCCACATGCACCTGCGGGGGCTTGTGCTGACTGAGTTCCAGGGAGCGAATACAATAATTACTCTAAGCAAGTCTGTTCATAGGTGTTTCTGATCATGGTATTAAATCCACTTCTCCTTTGTTTGGTGTGCCTGCTACTCTGCAAACTGGAGTTAACGCACAGTGAGTTGCAAGACCAATTTCTTTTGTCACTGCAGGTAGGACTGAAATAATGCAATATATAATTTCATTTCATTTTGAAATGAAATGACCCTAGTACAAAAGCAATGTATCTTATGGGTTGTTTATTCACAGGGGTGCAGTATGGCAGGCTAGAATCTACTGGGGTGGACTGGAACCCCGTTTCTCTTTTCCATGACCACTAATTGTTTGGTGGTTTTCTGGCTGCTGTGCAGTCTCTCCTCTCCCACCCCCCCCACCCAGTATTTTAAAGAGACATCTAGCCATACCGGGTCTTAAGGACTGCAGTCTGTTACATGTGTTACATGCATTAAAACTGGGTACCCCTCATGAACTGGTTGTGAGCCTTTTATACAGGGGCCTGATAGGGCTGCATCACTCAGCTCCAATGCAGAGGAAGGAGGCTGGTGACTGCCCTGTCCTTGAGAAGCTTATAAGCATTGGCCACACTGATGATCAGAGCAGAGACGGAAGAGGCAGGAGAGTCACATTTTCCTGCAAAGATGATCAAGCATGGTTTATTTAATAGATTTAGATACTGCCGGAGATACTGGTCCTTATATAGTCACATGGGAATGTTTTTGTCCTTATACAGTCGAATGGGACAAAATGTTTCCTTTTTAAAGTCACACTGCTCAAGACCAGAGTGGCTCTGCCATGAACCTAATGCAGCTGCACTTATGCCTGTGGCTGCCCCAGTGAATTTGAGTTCAGTAGCTCAGCCTTGGGGCACTGATTCCAAAGCAGAGTGTTGAATCGCACTGAGCTTGCCTTGGAAAAATTAACCCAGCCTGTTGAATGTAGGCATCTGCTACGCTCATCCTGCTGGAGCTGGGAATCCTGTGCAGTGCATCCCCTGTTCTTCTCCCTGCTAAAATATGGGCAATGACAACACCCTGAAGGGGGCACTTAGGGGAAAAAACAGGATTTCCCTGTGCAGCTGGTAGGCACAGGCAGGGCACAGGCAGGATGTCCTGACTGGGCAGAAAGGAGGACCAGAGGCAACAATATCTGGGCTGTTGCTGCAGTTTGAAGCAGGAGGCCTGCCTTTGTGGAAAAATGGTGACTGGAGGAATAAAAACGTGGTTGCAAATAAAACATTCTTGGTGACACACAGCATGGAGAAATGTTGTCCATGGGGTAGCGATGGGTCACACTCGACTTTGCTAAACAACAACAACAAAGGTGGCACACAAAAGGCTGGAATGTAATTGTAAATTAAGCTAACATAACCATCAATAGATTTTAAAACTACATTAAAGCTGCTTTTCTCTCCTTCATGCATGCAGACCCACAACAGGAGAGAAGATCAAAAGTGCTTTTCATGGAATGTGTGAAATCTGTCCTAGTGAATATTATTTTCCTATTTTAAAAGAACAAAAAACAAAGACACTTTTGTTGAGAATCATTTTCAGGTTTTCTAAACTTCCTAGCACTCTTTTTGGTTAGAAACTGGCATCTAATGTTGAAATGCTATACAAGTAGGAAAAAATATTTTAGCTCAGGAAAAAGGAGTGCATTTTTAAATTAGAGAACTTGTGTGTGATGTCAAAAGATGAAGCTGATCTTTGATATTTTTTATCCAAGATATCCATGGGTGGACAGCTGAATAGCTGTTCCTATGTACACGATAATGCACACTTTTTCATCTTCTTAGAAGAATGGGAAACATTTCCTAATTAAGTGCACAAAAATGCATTGGCGGAATGGCAAGCGATATTCACTGTTAAGGTCCCTATTTAACTTGGACTCGTAATATTTAAGTGTGTGTGCATGTTTGTTTAAAATGGGATAGGGGGAAATCTCACCAAACAATTGTTAAATGCTGAACTTCATGATATGGAGAAAGAAGAGAGAAGAACAAACAAATTTAGACACAAGCTAGCTGAAATAAATAAGACAGTTTCTTAATACACCTTAAACCTCGCAGTTCTCTCTGTGACATTCCAGCCCTGGTATTTTTGATTTGGATCTGTTGACCCAACCATACGGTAGACCACTGCACATGAAGAGTGTGCTATTAGCAGCACCCTCCATGTGGAGCATTTTAAATGTGTTTCTATGCAGCCTCTCCCAATGTTCCCTGTGTGGAGCAGCCAGTGTAAGGTATATAGCAAATGGGGCTTCTTACTTCCCTTACAGTGCAACCCATACATATCTACTCAGACATAAGCCCCAGTGAGCTCAATGGGACTTAATCTCAGGTAAGTGTGTATAGGACTGCAGTCTTTGTTGTTTCAAGAGTCTTTAAAAATCTGACACCATGAATGCTAATCTGTTTCTTTAACTACAGGGACAAAAAACCTTTGTGTAAAAGGGCCATTCTATACCCAAGGACAGAGATACAGGATTAGACCTCAGCTGCTTTCACAATTTTGCCCATAGCCAAAGGGGACTCCACTGGGATTGGGACTGCCCCATGGAACCCCTTTTCCTTGCACCATTGCCGGTATATTTTTACAAATGGGACAAAGAGCAGTATCAGTGGGATAATTTTAAGTGGGGAAATCCTGCATAAAGAAGAGGTGCTACATTACCTTGTCCTCCTGCAGTACCAATTAGGATCATCTCTCCCCTCACCCTGGTGGCTGCTATTTCTCAAATTTTAGAGGAGGTGAGAGGTATTTATGTAAATGTTTCTAAGGCTACTAGGGATGAAGCAGATACCATATGGTCAGAGCAGCCAGAGACATTTTGTAAGCACCCTCACCTGTGTTCAATCCAAACATAACCACAACTGCCCATGACTACAGCCGCAAGATCCAGGTGATCGCCAACTCATTGTTCTCAGAGGGACAAGTACTAAAGCAACACATCAATTAAAAATACAACCAAATACTCATATCAACCAATGCAACCACAATATCAAGCAGAAACCAACACATAGAGCCAGGCATGTATTCCATCTGATATATAAGCAGTCTGCATTTCTTCAGTGATGTTAATCGAATTAAAATGGTAGGAATGTGAAAGGTTTAAAATGTCTATATTAGGGGTGTGTCAAACATGAATCTTGAAATACAAGGAAACTGTCGCAGTGACGTATTCCCAGGAAAAAAGTTTGTGAATGCCTTCCTTTTTTCCAGTGTCCAGATGAGGCATTTATTGCACAACTATTGAGCTGCATTTGTGGAATTTTACAGTGGGTCCAGACAATGTCATCTTCATAACATTCTCAAGTTGGCATTCCTTCCATCTTCATTCCTTTTACACAAAAAGTCTTTTGCAGAAGGAGGGGCAAAATAGTGTCACCATGTCTCTAGGTTGGTCGAACTAGGAGATGACAGTCTGGAAGCACAAGGAAGTGAGGTTCTCTGTGCAGATATCTTTGCAAGATTGGCTTCTAATGTTGTGTGGGACAAAACCCCCTGACAAGTAGCCAGGGCTGCACACAAGGTGAGCTGTGTTAGGTCAGGTACCAGGCATGGTATGGTTGATTTATGGTTGATTATATAGGGATATCATGGGAGAACATGATATCCCTCATAAGTACCTCAAAGGCATAAGTACCTCAAAGTCAAGATGTCTTCTCACTGATACCAGAGTGTAGGATATGAAATAATCAGTTCAAGTCACAACAACCCAGATTCAGGCTGGACAACAGGAAAAGCTTCCTCACTGTCAGAGCAACACGACAGTGGAACCAGCTGCCTAGAGAGGTGGTGGGCTCTCCCACACTAGAGGCATTGAAAAAGAAGCCATCTGAGTGGGATGGTGTAATTGCTGTCCCCCAGTAGCAGGGAGTTGGACCCAATGGCCTTCTTGGCCCTTTCCAACTCTACTATTCTATGATTCAGACTACACTGAGCACCTATTTTAGGAGTTGGAGTACACATTTCAGTGTATGTGCACACATGTCCTGGCAGTTAAGTAGTCCTATTGGGGCAGAGAGTCCCAAGCATTTCTTTGTGAGGCAGATGTGTGCTGAACCTTACAAAGTGCTGCATGCAGGGATCTGCAGAGATCTTACAGGATCAACAGCTGTTCCTGGGGAAAACAACATTCGCTAATTAGCAACCCCTTGGCTGTCTTGCCTATTCTATTTGTTAATATAGAGAAAGGCATGAATAGGAAGAAAAGGTTCTTAATGGTGGAGGGAGCATTTAACTTTTTTCCCCTTGGCATATACAACTTTTTTACATGAGACTGCTAATTGCTCCGGTTACTTTCAGTTTTGTCACAGAAGTGACATCCAAGCTCTACACAAAATGCTTTTCTGCTGCATAGGCTCTAGGTGGTGCTGTGCTGTAGTGGAATAGCACAAATATATAAACAGGAAAATGCTGTTTCTTTTGCTTTCAGAAACAATATACTGTTTTATCTTTAAAAAGGCAAGCACTCTTAAAAAAAAACAAAACAAAACTGGAAGATTACAATGTTTTCTAAAGAACCTGTACATGGGCATGAGTAGAGAGTCACATGTACACAATAAATACTGCACATAGAAAAGTTCTTAGCATGTTGTGATTTTGTCTTACATAAACCATTTCTACTTGCCCGTGAATGTTGCAGTTGATGTGAAATGCTTTAAAAACGAACATGTAACTTTTTTTTTTAATTTCCAGTTCCCAAATTCATATTGGCAGCAGTTGATCCAATGGTTACAAACCAAAATCCTTCTTGGAAACCAAAAGAAGGTGAATATGGTCACTTTTATGGATCGCTACCAGCATTTGTCTTTTAAGTAAGAACCTATGATGGTTTGATTACTTTAGTATAAGGCCAAAACATAGAAAATATCCAGCCAAGTTAAGGGAGACCCAGATGCAATTTCACTCTTCAGCAGTTCCTCCACACCTGCAGTCTTTAATTATGCAGTCTAGTCTACTTCCTTGAGATTTTGCCACCTAATTACCACTTCATTTTGCTGCATGTGTGAACCAGGCCTCCCTAGAATACAGTGATAAGGTTTGGTAGGCAAATTCTTGGGACAATCCTATGTTTAATGAGTGGGAATGAGTATATTTCTGCTCAGTTCCTTGCCTTGCCTGTTAAAAGGAACTTGGGTAGAAGGACCTATCCTTAAGTAAGGTTTCTTAAATTAACATTATTCATTAGTAATATCCTTAACCTGAAATAAATTCTGCTGTGTTTTGTTTTTATGCTTGTGTAAACTCTGTTTCTTTAGTCTTTAAACACATTGGGGATTTAAAATAAGAAATCTTTTCTGGGTAGGAGATTAAAAACTCATACTGTTAACATATGACTTTTCAAACTGTAAAAAAAATTGTGAACTCCCTCAACTGTAATATAATCTAGCAAATGCATTTTTCATTTTCTTTTCCCAGGTATAAATGTTGATCTGAAAGAATCAAGATTTCCAAAGAAAGAGGGAATTATAGTTAGCAGCAGCTTGGCTACATTTGCTTACATTAGAGGTAGAACAATTATGTTTTGTTTTCTTGGATTCTGACCAGTAATCCTGTTAATAGCTAGCAATTATATTTTTCCAGATTGAAAATCCATTTCATTTACTAGCTTCATTCTGTAGGGCAAAACTATAAAGTATGCATTATGAGGAGAGCTTAACTTGGCATTCCACTTTCTGAAAGGGTCAGAAACATCCCTGATGCAGGGTGAAGACTTGCTGTCCTTTGCAGTGCAGGTGCATGTATGTGGGAGGCGGGCGAGAGTGAAAATAGGAGGGTTGGGTTAGTGTGTGAACTGAGCATTTCCTTTCATGTAGCTCCAGCCTTTCAATTCCTCAGCATCACTGTCCCCAGGATCAATATCCTTAATCATTATAATGCTCTGACCTTGTCTCCTGCCGAAGGGATACATCCAGCCTTTGTATTGCAGAACTCCTTTTCTCCATATCCACTTGAGCAGCCAAACTTTGAGAGTCACCCCATGGGAGAAGAATGGCATTGCCTGGGTAGCTACGTACCTTTGGGTTTCAGTGCGATATGTTTCTGTGTAATAACCTCCTCTCCAAAAGAAGGAACTATTGGTCTCTGCCAAAACACATGTTTAAAAGAACCATTAGCTGTACTGCACTGTTAGCAGTTAGCTGAATTAGAGTATTCGTTACTCAAGATGCAACAATCCATTATCCAGCAAACACAAAACAAACATTTTTGCAGAGTAGGATGCTGTCTAAGATCCACAGTGACCGTTGTGACATAGTGATGTTGTCTAAGATCCATAGGTTGCGGGGCTCCCCTCAGTTTTTCACACCGCCAAATGTGTCTATAGGTCCAGAAAGGTTGGGGATGCCTGACCTAGACTATTCAGTCGCTACCTTGTGCCATTCTGCTTTCTGCCCAGACACATAGCATTGGTTGGTCAGTTACCAGTTAGTGTGTCCTGACGGACCACGTCAGCTTGGGCTTGAAAGAACTGGCACAACAGTGCTGGTCTTTCAGAAATGACGACATGACTCCGCAGCCCTGGTCTGTACCTCTCCTGATAAGCCGCTAGTCTGGGATTTTGTTTCTAATTTCAGATCACCCTGAAAGAGCTGCTCTCTTGTTTGTATCCAGCGTTTGCATTGGCCTAGTGCTCACACTCTGTGCACTGGTAATACACGTGTCATGCTCTAATGACTTGGGAAAGTTGCAGAGGATAAAAAAGCATTTGGTGGTGGAAGACAAGCAGCCTGACGAACCCAGCGAAAGTGAGGAAGAGGAAGAAGAGCAGGGAGCAGAGTCTTCCAGTTCGGACTTTCCTGAGGAACTAGCAGGCTTCTGCCGGACTTCATATGCAGCATATTGTTCGGTGGACCCAGCTGAGCTGGCTGAAAGGATAGAGAGGCGGGAGCAGATTATCCAGGAAATCTGGATGAACAGTGGTTTGGATGCATCACCTACTAGAAGCCTAAGCCCATTCTATATCAATGAACAACAATGTGTTTGTTTTGGATAATAGGAACTATTTTTGTAAAACCGAAAAAAGTACCTTCTGAGAAGGAACATTTGCAATTCAATGTCATAATTATTTGCAAAGTTATATTATTAATAATTATTCAAAACCCTTTCAAATATTTGATAGTATGGCATATTCTGAATCTCTGCCTCCTAAACCACTTGAATATTTGCATACATTTGCATTAAGGACATTGTATTGATAAAATATGTTGACAAGTCTATCACTTTTCAGACTTCTTTTCAAAATAATCTGTGGTAGAACAATTCTACTTGGTTCAGACCAAGTAAATCAAAAGTTAAATCAGAAGTGTATTCCTGCCTTTAAGTAGAATGTCTCCAACATTTCACTGCAATCTGTAGGGAATTCCAGGAACAAAAGGAGGAAAAAGTCACTTCCTACTTGTGATACTTAGAAGCTGCCTGTTCTTTTCCTACACAGAAGCCACACGTTCATGTAGTAGCATGAAATATTCTGGGGTGGAGTGGACTTTGGCTTTTCATTTCCTATTGTTTTAAAGTAAAAACCAGAGCTTGGGAAAAAATAGGAAAAGGGGGCATTTTCCAATGACTAATTAATGAGCTCATGCTGGACTGGAAAACCTTCAATCTGATTCATTTCCTAGTATGGCAGGAAACTGAAATTTGCCAAGAAGTCTCAGAAATAATTTAACTCACAATACTTTAAAAGGCAATCTAGTTCATCTGTTGATGCTGTGATTTTAAAAAAAAATGCAATCCCAAAAGCCCCAACAGATTTGACCTAGAGATCCTCCTGTGGGCCATGGAGAGTCGATGTAGAAAGCAGCTTACTGAGCAATAACAATAGCCACAGAATTCCAACAAAGACACTTTTGCACACTGCTTGGATGGTTCTGCATGGAGTCGTGGGCACTGCTCTCCACCCTCTGCTCTTTGGCTGTTGTGGAGGCAGCCCTCATTGGCCTACACCCATGTGATGTGAGCTTGAATGGGGTTGGAGTAGGCACCCGCTCCACCACCTCATGAGAAATGATGGATTAGCTGCCTAAACTGCCTCTAATCACGGGATGCTGTTCCAATCTCACTGTGTATCCACACATGACAGAAATGTCATAAATCTCAGAAATATATATATATTATTTATTAATACTTATGTACTGCACGGGTAATATGCAAGCTATGTAAATTGCTATTTAATTTAATTCATTGTGATAGGGCTGCCCATCCATCAATGCATGTTCTCTGAAGACCTTACAAAAATAATAAAATACAATACAATTCTTGAAATCAACAAAAACAGGCAAAATACTTTCAAGTAAAGGAAAAATGTGCACAGACCTTAAAAGCTTAAAGCAAAACCACACAGGAATATTTATTTACATATATTTATAGGCTGCCTATAATTGCCAAGACCTTCCTAAAGGTAAAGGTAAAGGTAAAGGTTTCCCCTTGACGTTAGGTCCAGTCATGTCTGACTCTAGGGGACAGGGCTTATCTCCTTTTCCTAGCCAAGAGAGCCAGCGTTTGTCTGCAGACAGTCTCCGTGGTCATGTGGCCGGCATGACTGAATACCGAGGTGCACAGAACGCTTTTACCTTCCCACCGAAGTGGCACCTTTTTATCTACTTGCATTTGCATGCTTTCAAACTGCAAGGTTGACAGGAGCTGGGACGGAGCAACAGGAACTCACCCTGTTGTGCAGATTCGAACCGGCAACCTTTCAATCAACCAGCCCAGCAGCACAGCAGTTTAAACCACTGCGCCACCTGCATCCCAAGACTTTCCTTTAAAAGACATGCATGAATAAAAGGTCTTTACCTGGCACCAGAAAGATAGTAAAGGAGGCATTAAGTGATCCTCTCGGGGCAGAGGGGTTATTCTATAGCTGGAGTGCCACCATGGAGACCCCCTTCAACCTTATGGCAAGCCAGTTTCACTGGGCAAGGCACAGGGAACAGAAGAATCCATGCCATTAAGACCATGCTCCAATGGGAAGAACCAAGACATGAAGGCTGCAGTCCAACGCCCTCTGCTGCAAATGAACGCCAGTGTCTGAATGCTGACGTTCATGTGCACCCTGTGCACAAAACGAGACATGGCAAAGGCAGTCCATCACTGCAGCGCCTTGCACTGTGCAATTCAACTAGATGGCTCTTTTCAGCTGTCTAGATGAGGTGCTGGGATGGGAAGGAGGCTGAGGAGCCACCGGAAGCAGTGTAAGCCACCAGCCCCAGCCTCATCCCTTTCCCACTGCTGGTTTGCCCACCCCCTTTCCTCTCCAAGGCCCAGCTGCATCCTTGGAGAACCAGCCAGTGAGGTTCCTTCCACACCAGCAGCAAGAGGAGCAGGCAAGGGCTTAGTCTTTGGGGTTCTAGCTCCAAGGTGCCAACTGGAATTGGTGCAACTCTGTGGCCCCAGTCTCCCCCTCCCCTCCCCTCCATTTCCTCCCTCTGAGGCCCAGGTGCAACCTGTTGGGGGCTGGTACAGTTCTTTCTGCACCAGTTGCAAAACAACAGCATGGGGGGGGGGGCTTGGATTTCAGTGCTCAGACTCCAAAAAAATAAAATAAAATAAAATAAAATAAATCCTATGGTCTCTGAGATGATGCCAGGAGACCACAGAATTGCACCCTTTGTTTCTGGACCTCATGATCCTACATACAAAAATCCATGTCTTCAGGGACACAATCCTTATGCTAGAATGTTTGCATTTTCACTCAAAGACACAGACCAGACATCCTGGGATGTGTTTCCTTTCAACACACATATATCACATTTGAAACATAAACATTAGTTGCTTAAAGTACATTATTTTCAAATGTAATCTGTAGAGCAACTCTTAAAAGTACAGTATTTAAAGAGCAAATGGGGAGAGGAATTAGCCCTTAGGAAGTGCAGTGAAAAACACCCAGCTCACAGAAAACAAGTCTCTCTGTAGAAAGTCATCTGTGTGGAAAGTCCTACTTTGAATTCAGGGAATTGCTGTTCTAGCTTGGGTGGCTGGCTGCAGTTGGATGCCAGCAGGATGCAAATGCAGGCACAAGCAAAAGTACCAGTTGCTGGTGTATCATATGTAGATAGATGGAGGGAAAGGCAGTTTAAAATCTGAACTGAAGGCCAAAGATACAACAATGTAGCTCAACAGGGCAGGGGAGCTTGAAAGATAACAAAGAAGTGTTGCAGGGGAGGGTTGGAGCTCAAACTGGATGGTTGGTGTTGCTGAACAAATCTGAAAAAAGTGGAGGGCTTCAGTTACTTGGCTGACCACATGTCCAGAAGACATCTTTCTGCTAGGGTCATGCTATGTGGCGATCGGGAGGGAGTGGTTTTGTTTGTTTGTTTTTCAATTCTACCATTTGTTCCTTTGAACAAGTGGGTCACCTAGGAATCAAATGTTTACCTTCAGGGCTATCCATTCTAAGGCTGCAAAAGAAGTTGAAAATTAATCCTCCTTGAAACCAAAGCCTTTATCCTAACTCATTCAGCTGTTGCATGTACATTTGTCTGAGACCCAAAGCATGCAGCTGTATCTTAGAGGGTTTTTGGGAAGCTATTGTGATCAGCCAGCCAGGGCAGCACTGTTGGAAAGATGTGGGGAAGATGACAATGAAAATAGGCGTGGCACCGCATTAAGGTAACTTTAAGTTTTCTTTCCACACATGTGAGGACCTGAAGCAGATGGAAAAATAGTAAAATGGATGTGTCTGGGATGGAGGGGGATTGGAAATGGAGAGAGAGGGAAAAAAAAACCTTGGAAGCCATTCAGATTGGCTTGACTTTAGCACTGTGCTCTGACTGGATGCCTTGTAACACAATCTATTCCTTTGTAACATGGCGGAACACTGTAGACAAATTTGGATGCTTTCACTCCAAGTCACACAATGAAAGTCATTTGAGAGCTGAAAGGACTTGCTCCAAAGCTGACTGACAATGGAATGATGAAACGGCTTTGGTGGTTGCTGTGTGGGTGGGTGTGTTTTGAGATTCCTTTTATGACTCAGGACTGGTTTTAATGTTACAAAAAAGTTCACAAAAAGTTTGTAACAGCTCAGCTTCCAAAAAAATAATGGCTGAAAGAGTCTAAAAAGAAAGAAAGCTCCTTTCTAGAGCCTGTAGGAGCACTGGAATAAGTACATCTTGGAGTTACCTTAGAGACAGCAGAAGCAGCTTAGATGACTTTAGAAGAGAGAGAGACACATTTATGATATCAGTGGCTTCTGGTCTGGATGGCTATACATTATCCCCAGTAACAAAGATATTGGATCTCTGAAAAGCAGCTGTTGAGGAGCAGGAGAAGAGGGGGTAATTGCACTCATGCTCTACCTCTGGGCTTCTGAGCAGCATCTGGTTGGCAGATGTTGAACCAGATGCGATTTGTTTGATCCACAACTCTCCTTATAACCTTTTGGTTGTCCACCAAAATGGCCCACTCTACCTGCCAGTAATAGTGAGGAGAGGCTGCAGGTCAGCTCTAAGGTAGGGATCATCTTCACCTCCTATGGATCTTTTGAGTGCTTACTCACACCTATGAGAACAGGCATTTTCAGGTAGGATAACAAGTGATTTTTCTCAGACAACACTGGGGCAAATGCAGCCCCACTGTTGAGGAGTAGGAGAGCATTAAAGACAAAAAAGATGTCATTGGTGGTAGAGGAATCCTGTGTTGCCACTTCGTACAGCACTGCTGGAAAAAAGGCAAAAAGTGGAGAAGGCCAAAAATCATGTTTCTTCATTCCCTTTGCACTTGGTTCTCCCACGCATCCATCAAGGTGGCTTAAACGACCTGACATTTTGAATAAGTGTGATGAATCTGCACTGATACTTTCAAAATGCCAGAAAGCTAAATTTTACCCTGAAGTCTAGATCACAGATAAAATGTGAATGCAGAAGGAACATCCCTCATTATCTTCCTGACAAATAAGAATATGCCAGTCATGAAAAACAAGTCTTCAAACATGACTTCTTGGGACACCACCTGCACAGCAAATATCTGGCAGGAACAAGTCCCAGCAAAGATGGTGCAGTATATCAATTGCCTGTCTTTTGGGTGGCAGCCAGAAATAGCACAATAAAGTTGTATTAAAGGCTCCTTTCTTTCCAAACCCCCAAACCCTTGCAAACGGCTCTTGAAGGATGAACTCACTGAGGCTGAGAAGAGCAATGTTTCTTGTGATGAAATGACCATCTCGTATGGAAAAATGCGGCAAGGAGCAGCATAAAGGCCAAGCAATCATCACCTGGAG